TCTAGTCCTTGTCAGAACATCATACAGAATAAAAAAAACTGTGTAGAGCAGAAGTCTAGAAATGAAATGAGCGGTGGTTATATAAATCAAAGGACGGGCTTAACAACTGAGGTCCAAGACCTGAAGCTATCTGTATGTGGTCAGCAAAGTGACTGTGCTGATGAGGAGAACGTGGTCAGTTCTTTCATTGGTAAACCACACACCCCAGAAAAATCACCTACCCCAATGATAGCAAAAAACCTTCTGTGTGAACTGGATGAGGACTGTGATAAGAATGACAAGAAGGACCTCCTCAGTTCTAGTTTTCTATGTTCCGACGCTGAGAGAGGTTCTAAAAGTATTTGTATGGACTCCGATTCATCTTTTCCCGGAATTTCTATCATGGAAAGTTCATTAGAAAGGCAGTCCTTAGATCCAGATAAAAGCATCAAAGAATCCTCTTTTGAAGAATCAAACACTGAAGACCTACTCACCGTATCACCCAGCTGGCGGGAGAATACCTTGCCGAAAGGTGATGAGAATCCTGCTGTCCAAGGCAGTAGCCAAAAAATGTTAGCTCCGTCTTCAGAGGTGTTGAAAACATTAACCTTATCTAAAAGAAATGCTGTAGCTTTTCGAAGTTTTAACAGTCATATCAATGCGTCCAATAACTCAGAACCATCCAAAATGAGCATTACCTCTTTAGATGCAATGGAAATTTCATGTGTTTATAGTGGTTCGTATCCCATGGCTATAACCCCTAATCAAAAAGGAACATCCTATATGCCATATCAGGTATGTTCTAACTTTTTAACACTTTGTCGTTAGATTTTATACCCATAAACTATGAAGGCCAGATACTTGCCTCTCACCTAGACTATCTGAGATTTTCTGTTCTGCTGGTTGGGAATCTGTGGACTGTTGGGAGGTTTTGATGCCAAAAGGCAAAGCTGGTAGCAATTTATTATTATTAACTAAAGCACGTCTTCATTTGCTCTCTAGCCTTTCACATATTTTCTTTTTATAAGATTTTATCTATTTGAGCACATGCATGCACGAGCAGCGGGGAGGGGCAGAGGGAGTGGGAGGAGCCAACTCCCCACTGAGCGGGGAGCCCGATGCTGGGCTCGATCCCAGGACCCCGGGATCATGACCTGAGCCAAAGGCAGCCACTTAACCAACTGAGCCACCCAGGTGCCCCTAGACTGTCACACATTTTCAATCACATGTTTACATATTTACAGTCACATATTTTCACTTGACAACAGCAACTCTAAGATACAATATTAAAGTTCACTCTATCTTACTCCCTTTTAAGGACCTTCCTAGATTATCTCTTTTCTTTGTAGGAAATAGTTGGAAAATATATATTTCAAATCTTATGTTATTTTTATTTTCTAAACCTTTTTCTTAACAAACCCAAAGTTTCATTTTTTTTCCTTTTTTGGAGACATGACATAAAGTTGAGAGTACAAACTCTGAATTAGGGTCACAAGACTTGGAGTTTTCTATTCAGAACTTACTGAGTGACTTAGAAGTCCGTTTTCCTCAGAGCCTCAGCTTCTTACCTCTCTGTCGAATATGCTGACACCTCTCCCACTGGTCTCACAGAGTCCTTGTGAGACCACAAAGTATCTTTAAAACTTACATACCAATTAGCACAAGAAGTTATTTATATTTTGTTCCAGCTGATGTGTTGTCCCAGTAATTCAATCATTTGTCAGCCACGACGTCCCTCAGTGACCATTCTTAAGTTTGTATTAATCCATTCTACCAAGAAAGAAATTTTTCTTGCGGATTTCTTCATTCTTTCTTGCATATCTTGATCTTATTGAAATAATTGGTCTTATCTAAGCTATTTAAATTCACCAGCTATCAGGACTGTTCAAAATTATACTTGGTAATGAGTCCATTTTCAAAACTGATCAGGGATTTGAGTATGTCTTTTATCCCCAGCAGCCTAGCTTTGCTTTTTTAGCATTTCTATTCACTGTAAAAGGAATGAAGTTATGGGGTGCCTGGGTGGCTCAGTTGGTTAGGTGGGTGTCTGCCTTCGGCTCAGGTCATGATCCCGGGGTCCTGGGATCAAGCCCCACATCGGGCTCTCTGCTCAGCAGGGAACCCGCTTCTCCCTCTGCCCCTCCCCCTGCTTGTGCCGGCTCTCTCCCTCTCTCTCTCCCTCTGTCAAATAAATAAATAACATCTTAAAAAGAAAAACAGAAATGAAGATATTTATTGTAAACTCTTGTTAAATTAGCAGACCCCAAATCAGGTCAAATCAGGAACCCCATACCGAACTCCAAAGAGTGTGAGGCGAGGGGCAGCCCCCGTGGATGATGGGCGGATTCTTGGGACTCCGGACTACCTCGCACCTGAGCTGTTATTGGGCAGAGCCCATGGTAAGGCTTCCATGTCTTGAGTTTCTGAAGTGTTCTCTAGCACTACATTTTCTTTTGAGGTGAAATTGTTCTAAATTTCTTTGGTATTTGAATTGCCTAGAGTGAGAGAACAGGAACTCATGTGACACTCTTTTCTCGTAAATATGGCATTTCTTATGGTAAAAGAAGACATGCAGCCATTTGATCTTTGCCTTCCCACTCAGTCTCCGGGCCCCAGAGAAGTCCTACCGCCCACCTGCTCTGTCATCTTAGTTCAAAAAAGTCTCCTGAGGTCTGTTCCAGCTTTGGCTCAGGAATGCAGAGTTGAGCCAAAACTTCTGTTCAGTCTGTAGCAGCGCACTCCTGGTTAGAGCTCGCGCTCAGAAACTTAGAAGACCCTCACCACAAGGGTCAAGCCAGAGAGGAGCCATCTTCGGGATGCAACAGAGGAAGACCAGGTGGCATTTTTACCTAGCGTCTTTTTTCCCCTTCCTCTCTCTGAAGAATTTTCCCTTCCTGCCTTCTGAAACGAACTGTATTGGTTTCCTAGGGCTTCTATAATCAAGTGCCACACACTGGATGGTTCAAAACAACAGGAATTTATTGTCTGACAGTTCTGGAAGCTGGAAGTCTGGAATCTAGGCGTGGACAGGACCATGCTCCCTCTGAAAGGTGTAGGGGAACGACCTCGCCCCTTCCAGCTTCTGGTGGTTTGCCTGCAACCCATGGCTTGCAGGGGCCTCACTCAGAACAACATGTGGTATTCTCCCTGTCTCCATGGTCACGTGGCTGTGTTTTATAAGGACACCAGTCATACTGGATTAGGGGCCCACCCTACTCCAGTGTGACCTCTGCAAGGACCGTATTTGCAGATGGCATACTCAGAGGACCTCACGGTTAAGACTTGAACATGTCTTTTCAGGGAGACATAATTCAGTCCATAATGTGATCACCTTCTTGATCTTGTCAGTTATTTCCCTATTCTTCAGGCTCCTTTGGTGATCGACTGTCTCATCTCCCCCCCCCCAACACACACACCCCTTCTATTTTTATTTCTATGCTGCTTTTCTCCTTAGCCTGCCAATAAGCTTCCACCCTTGTCTTTCCCCACCACCCACCTTCTCAAAGTTTGCCTCTTTCCTTTGCCTGATTATTTTTGCTCTGGCAATCTGATTTTTATCCCTACCATTTAACTGACACTTTTTTTTTTAGGATTTCTATCTGTAAGTGATCTACTCCCAACATGGGGCTTGAACTCACAACCCTGAGATCAAGAGTCGTACCCTCTACTGACAGAGCCCTCCGGGCGCCTGTAACTGGCGCTTTTTTATTACCAGTCGTCAGTGACGTCACTCTTGTCAGATCTGCCAGCCTCTTCTCGGTCTCCTTCGTCTTCCCTCTGTTGCTAACTCCTCAGCTCTTCAGTATATAGAGATTCTTCCCGATCCTGCCCTTTCCCTTGTTTCCCTACCCCTGCTTCCTGTTAATATCTCTCCCGTGACTTCAGCAGTCACGTCCTCGTCGGTGCTTCCCAAATATCTGTCTCTAATCCTGACTTTCTCTAGGGGCGTACACGTGGCCAAAGTACCTGCGCGGCATTGCCCTGGGGATTCAAGTGCTGTGTGTCAGTACAGGACGTGTCCAGCTTGCTCTTCCTCTGTTTCCTCTCTCGGTTCTGCCATCTGCGTGATGACACCGACGTTGTCCCTGCATTCAGGCTTTTAAATCCAGTCAGTTCTGTCCCTGCAGAATTTCTTCTCACCTTTTAATCTCTGCCACTGTCTTCTGTAAGAACCTCCTCTTTCCCTTTCATTAATTTACGAGCTCTCTTCCTGGGACATCAGCTTCATCCTATCGTCTATAATCATTGCCACCAGATTTTCCCTCGGAAGACATAAAGTGGCCCGTCATTCTGCTTCTCCCCTTAAAAACCACGATGGCTCCTTCCTACCTGCAGAACAAAATCCAGATTACTGATCATGGTATCGGAGGCTCTAAGCTCTTATACTAGCCTCGTCTCTCAAGGAATCTCTTTTATAAACAACAAATGTGTTTTGCACACACAGTTTGGCGTCTGGGTAGTCTACGATCGAGGCACTGGCGGAGTCAAAGAATCTCATTATAGGTCTTATGTTCCCATTCCACTTCTTAGACACATTATTTTCAGGTTTTCCTTATTTTGCACAAGTATTTTGCCTTCGTTAAAAAAAGCCAGAACCCAGTCCTCTTCCAGTCAAATTTCTTCTCATCTCATTATCTGTTCAAATGCTACCTCTTTCACAAAGCATCCATTGGCCACCTATGGAGAAGTAGTTCATGTCTCTGCCACTTTATTAGAAATTGTTTAAAGCTTATGTCATTTTACCTTATGTTATTACATTTATCTCCACTGCAAAAGCTTAAGAAAATTTCTTAAGACGAGAGTCTAGGTTTCCCTTCTACATAGCACTCCAGGAGGATTCCTTGGTAGCACTCACTAACACTATTAATAATCTCTACAGTGTTGAAACACATTTCGAATTCCCCCTTATTAGCGCAAGCAACTAAATTCCTCTGGGCACCTAACTGATCTTTGTACAGTGTCCATGTTGCTAAGTTACAGGTTTGCCAGCTCATTTCCTATAATATACATTTTCTCTACTTAGGATACAGTATAAAACTAAGCTTCACATATAAAGCTTACTTTTATACTTTTTAGGATCTTGCCACTATTTTAATGAGACATCGAGTTACCTCAGCTATCTAGTGATTTATTTTAAGATTTTCATTTTCTATAAAATATTTGATACACAGTTCTTAAAATAACAAATGATACAAAGAAATTGTTTTGTTTTTTTTTTTAAAGTAGGCTCCACACCCAGCATGGAGCCCAATGCAGGGCTTGAACTCACAACTTTGAGATCAAGACCTGAGCTAAGATCAAGAGTCAGACACTTAACTGACTGAGCCATCCAGGGCCCCAGTACAAAGCAATTCATAATTTAAAAAGAAAAATCACTGCTTTATACCTCTTTCCCCAAATCCCAGGCCTCAAGGGCAGTCTCTATAGCAACTTTGTTTCTTGTATTGACCTCTGTGTTTCTAAACATCATGCTGAGAACAGCTAAGACTTCTCTGAGCCCTCCATGGTCTCCCCCGTTCTACCAATTACTTAGGAACTCTGGCCAGAGTTTCCCATAGCTTCTTGTGCATATTTTTATTTCATTTCTCTTAATATTGTGTCAAAATTATCTGTTTTGTCTTGCCTGGAGTAGGTTGTTTTCTCCTTGGAAAAATCTCTTTCTTATTTACCTTTGTGTCCCTTGTGTCTGGCATAACATTTAGGATCTAGTTTGGTGAAGGATGTGAGGATGAACTCATGATTTTAATACAACGTACCTAACTTCTCTTTTCTTACATGCAGGAATTCTGACTTCCAGTGAGTGAACTTCTCTATAAAGTAATATGGCAAAGCAAATTAAACTGGTCAAAGTATAACTAGATCACATTGCATAAAAAAGTATTTTCCCTTTCATCTTACTTAGGAAATAGAAAATGAACTGTATTCTGTCTTCTGAACAGGAGGACATCTGGGCAGAATGTTCTCTATGAAAACAAATGTAGGCATGTAGCATTTTTAAAATAACTTTTAAAGGCGGCCGAGAGTAAAGATACAGCCTTTTTCTTGCAACCCAGAAAATAGGCTTATTAAAAATATTAAAATTAGCACTGACAAAAGAGCTTGAATTTTCCTACCCATTGAATTCCATTATTATTAGAAAACAGAAAGGCCTAACAGTATCAGTGTACAAATTACAGATGGGGGTTTCATATTAGAAAACCAATAGTGTGAAACAAGTTTGTTCTATTTCTCTGGCTAATAGTATGTATTATAATTGCTCCAGTTTATCATCATATGTGATCTTATTAGACTTTGACTCAAATATATGGGTATGTCTGACATATCCATGGAGAAATCGTGTCAGTTTTTGACATGAGTACATTTTGGCTGAGCTGGGAAAAGGGTTCTAGTTTCTAACCTAAGTAAAATAATGAAGATACCTATTTTTTCCTGACTCCTCCCCTACTTTTCTGTTATTTGGTTATTCTATCTATTCTTTCTCAGTGCTGCTTAAAAGGTCCACTAACCAAGGTGGTTTGTATGGGGTTTTTTTTTATAGTGATTATTATAGAAATAGAAGTCTATAGACTGTTTACATTCTTTGTTCCTTAGGGAAGATGGGATTATGTGGCTTGCAATGAAGAGGCACTCTAAATGCATGCGATTATTTTCCTAATGGCAGATTCTATAGTGCTTTCCTACTTGTTTTAAAATGGAATGGTGGCAGTTGCTTAACCACAATAATGAATTTTGTGAAACTGATTTTATAGCAGTTTATTTTTTTATTAGATTTATTTATTTGAGAGCGAGCAAGCAAGAAAGAGAGCACGAGCAGGGGAGAGGCACAACAGGAGAGGGAGAAGCAGACTCCCTGCTGAGCAGGAACCCGACATGGGCTCGATCCCAGGACCCTGGGATCATGACCTGAGCCAAAAGCAGACATTTAACTGATTGAGCCACCCAGGCGTCCCGTGAAATTGATTTTAAAGAGTAATTTTCAAGCACATTTAGTACTAGACTAGAATTCCTATTTTAATTATATTGAAGTTAATCATTTTTTGACTAAAATTAACCATTGCTTCAGAAATATTTTTCATAGAACTAACAAAACTATAAACCAGATTATAAGGTCATGTTTAAAATAATTGTTGGAAACATCTTTGCATATAGATGATGCTTCCAGTAAAGATCTTTAGAAATCAGTTCTACGGGTTTATTAAGACTTACCTCCAGGGGCACCTGGGTGGCTCAGTCGTTAAGCGTCTGCCTTCGGCTCAGGTCATGATCCCAGGGTCCCGGGATCAACCCCCGCATCTGGCTCCCTGCTCAGCGGGAAGCCTGCTTCTCCCTCTCCCAATCCGCCTGCTTGTGTTTCCTCTCTCGCTGTGTCTCTCTCTGTCAAATAAATAAGTAAAATCTTAAAACAAAAAAAAGACTTACCTCCTAATTACCTCCTCAAGCCATAGTTTAAGTGAATATTTTTTGTTAAACTAATTTGTCCTTCTCTGTTTTTAAAAGGAGTAAAAGGACATTAAAACACTGTAAGGCTTTCCTTCCTTAACCAGGCTGTCCTCCAATTAGTATAAGTGTTGCTACTTCATCTCATACCCATGTGAGTAGGTGGAGTACAAAATCATCTAAATGTTATTGTTTCCCTCCCCCATTTGAAATTGACAAGTACTCTATTTTAGAGAGTAATCTGTGGGTTAAATGTATTTCTTCTAGTGTTTTAGGATTTAGAACAAGTAAATATCCTGAATATGAGAGGTTTTTAGTGAGTGACAAAAGAAAGATAACTTTAGCTTTTCTTTGACTAGCTGTGTCAATTGCTAATCTAAACTTCGTGGAGAATAGAGAAGGAAAATAATTGCCATGTTACTGAAATGAAGATAATTTGGGTTTTTGTACCTTATGGACTAGAAGAAAGCCTTAGGAAATGAATGCCTTGACTGTGCCCAAATATCCATGTAGTAACGTTTTAGTTGATGAAACATTTGCACAAAATGCTTGCAAGTGCAACTACTCCCTCTTAAATTCCAGGTCCTGCAGTAGACTGGTGGGCACTTGGAGTTTGCTTGTTTGAGTTTCTAACAGGAATTCCTCCTTTCAATGATGAAACACCACAACAAGTATTCCAAAATATTCTGAAAAGAGGTGATTCTTTTTCTATTAAGACAGATGCATTTATCTCTGTGTATTATTTGATCAATGATTAATAAGCTATTTGTATTTGTAGATATCCCTTGGCCTGAAGGTGAAGAAAAGTTATCTGATAATGCTCAAAATGCAGTAGAAGTACTTTTAACTCTTGATAATGCAAAGAGAGCTGGTATGAAAGGTAAGGTTTTGTGTTAATAAACTCCTAGCTTGATTTGTTTAAGATGAACTGTAATAATGATACTAAGTTCTAGGACAATACTATAGATAATCTGACTGCTAAATTGGTTAAAAATTTCTTCAGTTTATTTTTGCCTGCTAGATATGCATTGATATATTTGTCCTTATTCTGCATTAAAATTCAGTGCATCAGGTTGGGATACTCACTCACTGAATTTTATTAATCTCAAACAGGTACCTTAAAGCAATCTTATGTTGTCAGTGTCTTGGGTTTTTTCAAAGCCTAATAAAGTTACTCATCAACCAATACAGGAAATTTTTTTTTGTTATCAAAACTCTCTTCTATAATTTCTGACTGCTTCATTTCTGATATTATCGACTGACAAATGTATCAAGTTCCAGGTTGTCTCAAATAAGACAAATCTGGTATCTTTGTGATCCATTCAATGGTTTTTTCCAATGGAGGGGTATATTAAACTCCAATTTTGAAACTAGGAAACTCATTAGCTTTAATTTAGATTCAATTAGGTTTAATGTCAGCTGCCTTAAAATCCCTTTTCTAACAAAGTATACATAGACAAAGAAGCAGCTATGTCCCCAAATGCATTTCCATGTGGTCTAAGGCATTGAGAAAAATGAACTTCAGTAATATGTCACTTGTGTCAGCTTCTAGGTGTTCCCTCTAATAAGATCAACAGTTTATTTGCTTATTTAACAAATCCTGTAGAGTGACTTCTAGGTGCCAGGCAATGGGTGCTGGAGGTATCCTAGGGATGAACCAGACTAAAATCCATGTGCTTGTACACCTTACTCTGTAGGGGAAAGACACAGGTAATGAGATACAATATGACATAATGCATCTAGCAGTGAGTACTGAGAAGAAAGATGAAGCAAGTGAGTGGATACAAAGTTTGACAAGAGATTTTCTAGCTGGAGTGGTCAGGAAGACCTCTGTGAACAGTGGGATTTGAGGAAAATCCTATGTAAAGTGAGGGTGCAGACATTTGAAAGCTCAGCTTTAAAAATTACTTTAGGAGTTTTCAACTGGGGCAATTTTGCTTCGCAAGGGACGAAATAAACAGAGATAGAACACCATTCTTACCAATGACCTCAGATTTTTGTTTGTTTGTTTAATGAACAGTTTACATAGTGAAGCAGATGACAGGAGAGGTCTTCGGTTAAAAAACAGTTGTTGCAACAACTGTTTATACAGTTAATCTTAAACTGGCTTAGAATTCTTTTGTGAGTTCAGTTTAAATAAATAGTTATGATGAGAGAGTCATAAAGCATCACATCGCAGCCAGATATCAGTTTAAGAGTTACTGCTATAAGTAACTCTAATCCATGCTCAGACATTTATTTTGAACAATTAAGAGACAGATTCTTTTTGCTATTTTATTGTTTTCCTACCAGTCTCTTACTTTAGGGAAAAACCAACTTGTAGATATGTTGACTTCCCAAGCCATCACTCCAAATATAGACACATAATTCTTTCCTGTCTGTGTAGTCTTCTCCCAATATTTTCCTTAAATTCGGTTGTTGGTTTTTTGAACTACTTAATGCCTTGATTGTCACTTAATTTTTTTGCCAACATCCCTATATTTGTCTTATAAAGTGAAAGGTTGAGGATATGGGAGGTTGTGTCTAGCAACCAAATATCACAGGGTGATCAAAAGAGCATGTTTTCATTTTATTTTATTTATTTTTTGTTTAAATATTTTATTTATTTATTTGTCAGATAGAGAGAGAGACAGAGAACACAAGCAGGGGGAGAAGCAGAGGGAGAAGCGGACTCCCCGTGGAGCAGGGAGCCCGATGCGGGACTCGATCCCAGGCCCCTGGGATCATGACCTGAGCTGAAGGCAGACGCTTAATGGACTGAGCCACCCAGGCATCCCGCATGTTTTCATTTTAGCAGGTAGAAGGAATTAGGAAAGAAGACAGGTACCACAAATGTAGCTAAAGAGATGAGCAAAGTTGAGATCTTGTAAGTGAAGCGTAAAGTCTCCAGATATATTCATGCTGCTAAAAGGGCATGTAGTTGAGATACAATCAATGAAATCAAAGAAGTCAACCATGAAGAGAATATGTCACAAATGTCATCAGTGTATGTGTTGAAATCACCATGAAGGATAAGGATGGGGCATAGGAAAGAAATTAAGGTAGTGGAGGATGACGTTTTTACCAGAGTTACCTAGGGTAATCGGTGGTGATAAGGATTGCAGAGATAGAAACAGGTAGCAAGGACTTGGAATGAGAAGTGGAGCATTAATCATGAAGATCAGTGGTGTGGAAGCTGTGTCTGGGAGCAGGAAGCAGGCCAAGCTCCTGTCCCATCAAGTCAGGGATTGTGTGAGAAGATGGAGGCATGAGATAATATAGGCTTCTATTAAGGAAAACCATTCATTCACTCATTTGATGAATACAGGCCAAGCACCTGTCATGTGTCAAGTGTTATACAAAATGACATAATGTGAGCCATTGTGAAGTACATGGAAGACAGACATTGAACACATATGTATGAAGCAAAACCGGGCAACATATATCTGAGATCTTCCCTTACTTCCTGTAAAACAGTACTTACTTAGGTAACAGTGTTATAATGCTCTGTTTTGTTTTATATTTTTCCTAAGAGCTGAAACGTCATCCTCTCTTCAGTGATGTGGACTGGGAAAATCTGCAGCATCAAACTATGCCTTTCATACCCCAACCAGATGACGAAACAGATACATCCTACTTTGAAGCCAGAAATAATGCTCAGCACCTGACCGTATCTGGATTTAGTCTATAGCACATAAATTTTCCTTTTAATCTAATCTTGGCTTATAAGCTATCATAATTATATACTCCTTCATAAGAGAGTGATCTAAGGGGGAAGAAGAATCATTATGTTACTTGGATCGATGAGTTTTTAATGTATGTTACAGCTTCCACAGAGTTAAAAGTCTCTCAAGAATACAGTCAATGACTTATCTTAATCTCAGAGTTGTATATAGATCGTCAAAACTTTTTTCACTTTATTTATTTTGTTACCGCACCTTATGAAAATTCATACATCAGTAAAACTAGAATGACACTACTCTGTTAGAAAAGGAACAAGCTTTGAGCCTAACTTTCTTTCACATGTTGATTTCAGTCCACCATTCACAGTTTGGTGTTAAAATAACAAAATCATACGGTTTTATTGTGATTTGTTTGGACATGATTGCCTGCAAAAGCTGAAGTCTTGAGAGCAATCATTTAAGCTTACACTTGTGGCTTCAAAACTGCAGCTGGGAAACTCCTTCACTTGGTAGTGTAACTCCTTTAGGGAATGAGGAATAAAAAGGATAGAGGCTTTAGCTTACTTTGAAACAGTCTTGCTGCCTTGACTACTTCTGGTGCTTTCTCTACAATACATATTTGCTTAAAATTGTACTGGAGAGCTTAGGTGTGATTTGCTGTAGCAATTTTAACAGCTTATTCAATTTTAATAAAACGTGGTGGTTTACATTTTAAAAGAATTTGTTTAAAACGTGCAACATTACAAGAAACAACCTGATCCTTAAAAATAAATAATTTCTTTTTGCTTAATAAATGTAACACTTCAAGTATATTATCTGTCAACATCCTTCTATTAAATATATATACACACTAAGATTCAACTTCACTATAATAATTTGTTACCCAGTGGTAAATAGATGGATGAGTAGTCAGAGATAAAGGAAGATGGTGACAAAGTAGGAGGACCCTAGTCTTGCCTCGTCCCATGAATAGAACTACATAACGATCAAATCATCCTAAATACCCCAGAAACAGACCTGAGGACGAACAGAACAAACTCTACAACTAAAGGGAGAGAAGAAGCCACATCGCAGATGGTAGGAAGTATGGAGACATGGTTTCGGAGAGAAAATGGATCCTGGTTGTCGTGGAGGGGAAGGAGTCATGGTCACAGAGAAGGGTGAGAGAGAGGAGCACACTGGATCGCACAAGGAGGTTTCCCCATAGCCACCTGGCTCGGAAAACAAGAGGGGCTGAATTTCATGAGTTCTTGCAACTAGGAGGGCTGAGAGCCTGGAGTTTTAAAGTTCAACAGGATTGACTGGGATAGAGCCCATAGGCACTATGCGGCTCCTAGAGAGAAGGCAGACAACCCTGGGGGCAGACAGCTTGGAAAGAACGATCTAAAGAGTGCTGGGGCACATGGTGGGGAGATTACTCCCTCTTCTTGGAGCTGCCCCTGAGAGGCAGAGTTCATGCAGACATCTCTCCGGGGACAGAGGTACCAGCTAGTGCCATTTACCTCCCCTACCCCTCAGCATAAACAGGGAGCCACCTGTAGGAAGCCCTGTGGCACCAATATTGGCTACCTAACTTACTTACGCCAAGCACCATCCCCCTGCACTCCAGTGGAACCACCCTTCTCAGTTAGGCTTGCCTCAGTCCCACTGTGGGGGGCCCCTCCCCCAGAAGACCAGCACAAAGCCTAGCCCATACCACATCTCCCAACCAGAGAGTTTTGCAGGGCCTCAGTTCCAGTGGAGGTGGTGACAGGACTCGTTTCACAAGCAGACCAAAGAACACCTAGTTAAAACTCACCACATTCAAGCCAGGTACCAAACACAGGCAAGGAGCCTTTGCAGATGACTGGCCTCAAGGACAGAGCAGTCAGAACAAAACAGCAGAGTGCGCACAACACACACCGGAGGCACTCACTGAAGCACCAGGCTGTGGGCTCGACAGGACATCTTCAAGAGGCCATTACTGTCAGGAGCACGAGACATAATTGGAACACAGACAAGAAGGCAGCGACTTAGACAAAATGAGAAGTCAGAGGAATTTATCCCAAATGAAAACAAGATAAGGCCACAGGCAAAGATCTAAATGAAATGTAAGTAATATGCCTGTTAGAATTAAAAGCAACAGGGGGTGCCTGGGTGGCTCAGTCAGTTGGGTGTCTGCCTTCGGCTCAAGTCATGATCCCTACCTGGGATCGAGCCCCTCGTCGGGCTCCCTGCTCAGCGAGGAGTCTGCTTCTCCCTCTCTCTCCCCTTGCTGCTCCCCCTGCTTGTACTCTCTCTCTCTCTCTGTGTCTCAAATAAATAAAATCTTTTAAAAATAAAAATAAAAAATAAAAAATTGAAAGCAACAATCATAAGGACCCCCCCTGGGCTTGAGAAAGGAAAAAAAGACATCAGTGTGATCCTTACTGTAGAGAAAAGTTCAAAAAGAATCAGAGATGAAGAGTGCCATAAACTAGATTAGAAACATGGTTCTAGAAGGTGGAAGAAGCAGAGGAATGAATTAGTGACCCAAAGACAAAGCAGTGGAAAGCAATGAAGCTGAACAAACGAGAGAGAATCACACCAAATGAGACTAGAGTTAGGGAACTCCGTGACTCCACCAAATGTAATAATATTCGCATTATAGGATCCCCAGAAGAAAAAGAGAAAAGGGGGCAGAAAATTTATTTGAAGAAATAATAGGTGAAAAATTCCTTAAGTTGGAGAAGGAGATAGACATCCAGATCTAGGAGGCAAAGAGAACTCCCATCAAAATCAACAAAAGGAGGCCCACACCAAGAAATATTGTAATGAAATTTGCAAAATATAGTGATAAAAAAATCTTAAAAGCGACAAAAAAAGTCATTAACCTTCAAGGAAAAACCCATAAGGCTAGCAATACGTTTTTCAACAAAAACTTGGCAAGCCAGAAGGGAGTGGTGTGATAAATTCCAAGTGCTGAGTGGAAAAAATCTGCAGCCAAGAATACTCTATCCAGCAAGGCTATCATTCAGAATAGAATGAGAGCTAAAGAGTTTCCAGACAAAACTAAAGGAGTTTGTGGCCACTAAACCAGCCATGTAAGAAATATTACAGGGTACTTTTTGATTGGAAAGGAGAGACCAAAAATGACAGTATAGAAGCAGGAAACATAAAAGCAATAAAAATGAATCTTTTTTTTTTTGAAAGATTTTATTTATTTGAGAGAGAGCACAAGCAGGGGCAGTGGCAGAGGGAGAGGGAAAAGCAGGCTCCCCGCTGAGCAGGGAGCCAGACGTGGGGCTCAGTCCCAGGACCCCGGGATCATGACCTGAGCTGAAGGCATTCGCTTAACTGACTGAGCCACCCAGGTGATTTCTATACACCAATAATGGAGCAACAGAAAGAAAAATTAAGAAATCAATCCCATTTACAATTGCACCAAAGATAATAAGATACCTAGTAACAAACCTAACCAAAGAGGTGAAAGACCTGTACTCTGAAAACTATAAAACACTGATTAAATTGAAGATGACAGAAAGAAATGGAAAGACATTCCATGTTCACGGATTGGAAGAACAAATATTGATAAAATGTCTACACTACCCAAAGCAATCTACACATTTAAAACAATCCCTATCAAAATATGAAAAGCATTTTTCACCGAGCTAAAACAAACAATCTTAAAATTTGTATGGTACTACAAAAGACCCCAAATAGCCAAAGCAATGTTAAAAAGGAAAAACAAAGTGGGAGGCATCACAATTCTGGACTTCAAGTTATATTACAATCAAAACATGTACTGGTACTGGCACAAAAATAGACACATAGATCGATGGAACAGAAGAGAAAACACAAAAATGAACCCACAACTATATGGTCAATTAATCTTTAACAAGGCAGGAAAGTATATCCAGTGGGAAAAAGACAGCCTCTTCAATAAAGGGTGTTGGGAAATCTGGACAGCACCATGGAAAAGAATGACACTGGACCACTTTCTTACACCATAGACAAAAACGAATTCAAAATGGGAGTCGAGTAAGATGGCAGAGGAGTAGGAGACCTGGATTTCGTCTGGTCTCAGGAATTCAGCTGAATAGGGATCAAACCATCCTGCACACCTACAAACTCAACAGGAGATCAAAGAGAAGAATAGCAACAACTCTGAAGAGAAAAGTGACCACTTTCTGGAAGGTAGGACGTGCGGAGAAGTGAATCCGAGGCGATATTCGGGAGGATAGACGGCGGGGGA